TCTTCCATACCGAGTAGGATGATAACTAGCTTCTGGTCTGAGCTATACTAGCTGCCGCAGTGATGGTTTTATTTTTTAACTTCAGGTGCCCCTTTCAGAACTGATGGAATTTCAGGAGAAGTTTGAGGACAGAATTTTTTTCTAGGTTATATCAGGTGGTGAAGTACTTCTTAGGGGACAGAATGTCTGGTCACTGTCTTCTTCTGGGTCCCTTACTGAGACATGTGGTTATCGAGGGCTTGTCTAGTGTGGAATTTCAATGAAATGGGATCTCTCTAAGGAGAAGCATCCACTCTGACTAAATAGGAGTGGGGTCCTATGGCTCTGTTCTGACTCTCAATATCATGGAGCAGATGCTGCGAGCATACCTAGCGGGGGAGTGTGAAGGTCTCCATGTCCTCCCAGGGTTTTAGTCAGAGAACAGGGTCGGTTGCTGTAGAATCATTCCCATTGTTTTATGGATGAGGAAACTAATGCCCAGAGAAGTTGAGTGATGAAATCCATGTCACACATTTGTGATTATCAGGAAAAGATCTGGACCACAGGATTCACAGCCCTCTGTCCAACATTTTTTTTTTTTAATATATAGCACCTGGTTCTGAATCCATAAGACTTCTGAGAGGTCTTAGGGCAGCTTTCTACTCTGTCCAATTCATTTTTTTCTTCTCCTCAGCTTACTCAAGTGCTTGGTTTGGCAATATAAAATTGTAATCTATTTCAGTATCTTATTTGAGCTGGCTGCCCTCTGTCTACTTCTCATGAAGCATAAATTCTCATAATCCAGTTAAGTCCTTCAGAAAATATATATCAGATTAACTCATACATTTTCTTTAATAACAATGAAGAAACATGCTAGTTAAGAGCACACACTCTGGAGTTAGCAGTAGAAATCCTAGGTTCATCACATACTAGGTATAAAACTACTTTAAGTTACCTTTTTTATTACTAAAATGGTAATAATATAGTTTTTTAAGGTTTTATTTATTTATTTTTAAAGACGTATGGAGGGAGAAAGAAAGGGAGAGAAAGATCAATGTGGTTGCCTCTTGTGCTCCTTCCAATGGGGGCCTGGTTTACAACCCAGGCATGTGCCCCGACTGGGAATGGAACCTGCGATCCTCATCTTTGCAGGCCAGCACTCAATCCACTGAGCCGCACCAGCCAGGGTTAAAATGGTGATAATAAATTATAATTTAATAATAAAAACCCTGTTTTATAAGTTATCGTGAGGAATAAATAACCCATGTAAGCGCTCACTCAGTACAGGCACTGGGACATCATAAATATTCAATAGAGATCATTATTCTTTTTAGATATGCTCAGTTTTTTAGTTTATCACTCATTACAACATTGCGATTGCCTTGACTTTAAAAATCATAGGACACTGTCAGCATGCACTTGATCTTGTTTCCACACATGGCACAGCAGATCTCTGACAAGTCCAAGGACCAGGTGTGTGCAGGTACCTGCACGCCTTCTGCCCTCATTCTCTCCACCCTCCTCCCTTCCCATCCTTCTTCATCCCGAAAGGACCCGAGGAAGTCTCATGTTAGGACAGTGACAGCCGGGTCATTTAAGGAAAGATCAGAATGAAGGTCATGTGAAGGCAGCTAAAAGCAGTATTTTCAAGCATATGAACTGAACAAAATTAAACACTTGGGAAATACCGGTTGCTCTAAAGATATGGGCAGTTAAAGCTTAAAATGAAATACATTAGGTTATACATTGTAGCTCCTGACAGTGGAAAACAAGATACCTCAAATCTTCAAAGGCAAGTTATTTTTCTCTCAAAAGGGCTATTTTGACAATTTTAGACTCTCATTATATACTCATAAATCAACTCTTGATCAATAAACTATACTTGATAGACAACTCAGTCTTGACATTTATAGGTCACATTTTTATATATTTTTTGTCTTTTAGTATGATCTCATTATAATCTGGTTGTTTGTTAAAAGAGATTATTGTTCAGATTATGCATGAAAGTAATTCAATGTTAAAATGAGTCATTTTTGAGTGGGTTGCATATTGATATTTTCACTAATTTTTAAAACAGGCAATGGGGATGAGTCATGCAATTATTTAAAAAACAAAGTTTTCAGCATAGATTCCTCATATTTAAACCTAATTAAAAATTAATATGTGGATTTCTTTTAGGATATTACCTTACACAAGTTAGATAGTAAGTTTTATATGAATTTGAAAGGCATTGTGTACAATCTTACTGTTTCATTTAATTTGTTTTTACAATACTTGAAAACAAAATGCTTGTAAAATATATAGGACAACATTGTTCTCAGTTTTGTAAATGTTAATTGTATAAACAAATAAGAACTCTAGAAACTGTACTTTTCAGGGAAATAAAAGGAATATTACTCTGAGTCTGTGTTACCTTCATTAAGTTGTAAAGAAACTGCCTTTACATTTATTGGAAATAGAAAGTTTTTTTCTTTTAATGCATGCATCAGATTATAGATTGAATATACACTCTGCCTACATTTTCTTCTTAAATTTTTACAGTAGTTGAGTTTTTATTCTTTGATGTGTGAAAGATTATTGGATTATGCCTAAAACTCCTATGAAATTAAAGATTAAGCTATTAAATTCAGGTATCATTATCTTTTCTCATTCAAAGAACAACTTCATGTGAAAATAAGTAAGAATATATGATTTTTTAATCTGGTGGGGCTATGGTTGAGATTTTTATATTTTTAAGACCTAAGAACAATTCTCTTAAACAATGTCTAGTGTTAGGAAAGTAGCTCACTTTGGTATTCACTCAGCCTTAGACAGCCCTCTCTCTCTTTTTTTTAACTTTGAACTTAATGTTTAATTTTTATAATGGTTTTAACCTTTTAAAAATGTTTTAACATTTTTAACATGGCCAGACACGAAGACTGTTCTTTTTTTGTTGGTTATGATTCATTTCTATATCAGTTTTCAGGAAAGCTGTTCACACAATGTTTAGTGAACAGCATAGAACCTGTGTGGGGGAGACGTAAACATTCAATTTGATAAGTATAATCATTCTGTATTTATTCTAAGGTTAGTGATGAGAATGGTGTAGTTTCAGAGGACCACTCTTTGCTCATCACAGTACCTGACATGAGGCATAGACTCTGTAGGCGACTTTGGTTCCCTTTCTGTTTCTGGCCTCCAAGTCTCAGCTAACCTTTGGTGTTCTGTGAAAGCATCCTCAGCATGCCAGAGTTCTGTCATCTCATGAGGGTTATAACCAGGACAGTGTAGGAGGCGCTGCTCAGTCTCTGCTGAGAGAGAAGAAAATTTCATGGAAATAAAATATAAGTTGAATGGAGGGAAACTAACTGGCTTAGGTTTTATGTAGTGACTTTGCAAACCGGACCAGGTGTTAAAAAGATCAGTCTGTAGTGACTGTTGAGGGTGAAGCTTGGCCCAGCACACCTACTTAGAAGGTCAATGGTGGGAGGAAAGGTTTTCAGTATTTTTTTCCAATTATGGATTTGTGTGTAGGAGAAAGGATGTTCCATTTCCTCTTTGATTGTGAAATGTCCTTCCCATGGGGTCTTTTATTGTATTGGTTCCAGCAGTTTAACCTGCCATCTCACTTAAGGGTCATTTCTATAGAGTCTCCACGTTTTTACTTAAAATTCTTGAGTTTTCATTCCCTGTTTGGTGAAAGGGACATTAGAGCTCTGCGTATTTGTGGGAAGTTTTAGGGCCATCTCAAATAGAAATCTAGATAGTCTGACCTTATTTCAGAAATCTAGGTAGAGTAATGCTGTAGTTAATGACCTGGAAATTGGTTGAAAAGAGTTTTTTTACTTACTGAAAGCATTCATTTGTATGTGACTACTAGAGTTTGATTTTTCTGGTAACTACTCTTTATTGTAGTAATGGAGGTAGATAATGAAAAGCTATGAATAACTTCAATTTACATAGAAGAGATTAGTGACAAAGAGAATTTAACAAATTGTAGGCAATGTGTAGTATTTGAGATATTTTATGATAATTTAAGGAATGGTCACTTTTGAGGATGTTTCCTTGTAGAATTTGTTTTGAAACAATTATAAGTAAAATCTGGCTTTCACAAGAATGATATAAACTAACATTGGTTGTGTACAGATTCTAGGCCAGAGACTCTGCTAAGTACTTTATATTTACTTTATTTAATCCTAATGACAATCCTGGACACTAGGTGCACTTTATTTGTTCCTAATGACAACCCTGGAGACTAGGTGCCAAGCTATTTTTGAAAATGATTTCAAAAGACACTTGTGATTTTAAGGAAGTGTGGGTATTGGAAATATAGAGAAGAGAGATTGGTCACTATATAGACCTTGGCTTAAATAGTTAGGGTCGGCATTATCATTCATAAATATTATAAATATTTGGATTCATTTTGAAATGTTAAGTAGTCATTACTTTTGTTTATTTGTTTATTTTATTTTATTTTTCCATTAAGGGCTGATTGTGTGTAAGAAACTGTTAGATATTTTGGTGAGGATATAAATTATTTAAACATGGGAGTTTGGGCCCTGGCTGGTGTAGCTCAGTGGACTGGGCACGGGCTGTGAATCAAAGGTTCGTCGGTTTGATTCCCAGTCAGGGCACATGCCTGGGTTGCAGGCCAGTTCCCAGCAGGGGGTGCATGAGAGGCAACCATACACTGATGTTTCTCTCCCTCTCTTTCTCCCTCCCTTCCTATCTCTCTAAAAAAAGTACATAAATAAAAAATTAAAAAATATTTTTAAAAAACATGGGAGTTTGAGAGTTTACAGTAAAATAAGGAACAATGAACGGCTATAGTTTGAATCTGGGCAAAAGTATAGACAAGTGTGAAGCGTAGCATAAAAACTGGGTAAGCTCAGGAGAAGCCTACTTCATGAAAGTCTGATGAGCTTCCTGGGAGAGAGCTTGCCCCAGGGAAGAACTCAGCTATTCTGAGCTTGACTCTGTCTTGGGCACTGAAGGACAGAGCAATTCTGACCATGTGATTGGTGTCCTTTGTGTTTTTCTTTTTAAATCTAGAATGCTTCACAAATCTGCACGTCATCCTTGCACGGGGCCCATGCTAACTCTGTATCATTCTAATTATTTAGTACATGTGCTGCCAAAGTGAGCACTCTTTGTATTTTCCTATTTCTCTAGCTCTCAATAGATTTATGTCTAAGCCTCATGGAGATATAGGAGGGCATCTAAATAAAAACTATAGTGAGAGAAGCTTTGTTCATGAGTATATGGGGAACATGCCTTGGAGTTTCCTAGAAACGTATATGGACCTAGGAATCCCATCAGCAGGTCCAAGAGTTGGTGGCATTTAAATTAGACCCATCTGTGCCTGTAGGTGGTGGGTAAGGTCTGACAACATAGTGTTTATAAAAATAACTGTTATACCAATGAAAATGAAAGATGCTGAGAGAGAGAGAAGAAAAGAGAGAAGGAGGGAGGGAAGTTTGGGAACTTGGCAACTGGTGTGGATGGAGAGGGAAGAAAGTTTGGGGATGACTAGGAAATACGGAAAACAGAAGAACAGAAGAAAAACATTTGATAAATTCTCTCTAAGACTCATTGAATGTGAACTGCCAATAGGATGTACAGATAGAGATGTTCAACAGACAGCCAGGAGTTGTGGGAACTCTGGAGAGATACATGGCCAGGTAAAGAAATTTGGAAGATATGGGCATAAGGGCAGTACCTGAAGCTGGGACAGTGGACAGAGTTGAGGATGTCCAGATGGGAGAACTGAAATCTGAGCAGAAGGCATAGAGATTCCCCAAGTACCCTTTGCCCCCGACATATTCACTCAATACTTATATTTAGGGAGCAAGAAGAATAGGAGCCAGAGGAAGAGACAGAAAGATGTAACCAAACAAAGGAAAGTAAACACAAGAGTAAAAAGTTTATAGAATCCAAAGAATTTAAAGCTTAGGGTCAAGTTTAAATGGAAAAATAATTAAATTACACAGTCCTTTTTGTTTGAAGTGATCTTGTTAACTAAAATTATGCCAAAATAGTACTCCTAAGAAGAAATTCTTATAGAATCTACTAAGGATAGAACCTGTTCAGGTATTGTTATTGTGAAGTTATATTTGTTCGTGGTTGAGTCAGCCAGATGACATAGCAAAGTTTCTCTCTTAAAAGGCAAAATATTTCCCCAACTCTTCTGACTCTCAGATCAGAAAATCATTTAAATCCTGTTGACTCATCTTCCTCATGTTGAGTATGACCATACTCTGTTTTCTACAGTTGCCTAGAAATATATCTTAGAAAATTAAAATAAAAATAACTGAATTTTTCTGTCGAAGAATTATTTGTGGGAGAATTTAACCACTAACTTGTTTTAACCTTCCTGTTTAGTCTGCTTATAAGTGTCTTCAGAACCTTTACTATAAATGAATCAATACTGAGGCACAGATTAAAAGAGAACACCCCAAATTCACAGTAGGCGTAGTGGAGAGGGTATTTGGAGAGTGAGTGGTAATAAGTCTGTACCGGGGAACTTCCATATTTCACTTCGTAGGCTGACTTACACATATTTTATAATGTGTATATGTTTGTATATTGCAATGCATGGATGTACTTTTTGAATTGGGATGATTATTATGCATGGTGAATGATATTGTGTATTGGATATTGTGTTTACTATTTGCATACACTCTAAGATAAATATCACATGCTTGATGTGAATAGGGGCATATGTGACTAAAAAGTCAGCATAAATGCGAGGGCATTTATATCCATGTAGATGGATGATAAAGTGTTTACATGCAAGTCAAAACCCCCAGGAGTGCTCTTAACTCTGTATTGGACATTTACAACAAGAGACATCAAGTCCTTAGGTAGAAAACAGACTGAGTGCCTAAGGAAAAATTTCATGTTAGGCTAATAGGATGAATGTGAGTGTGGCTCTTAACTTTCCATTAATCTGAAAGGATTTCATGGATGAAGTGGTAGGATTTGTGTGGTGGTTTAAATGGTCATTGAGAAGGCATCCTATAAATAGTGGATCAAAACAAGGTGTGTTTTCAGCATATCCCAGTCTTATGCTGTTGGGTGTGTTAGTTGTCAAGAGAAATAATTTGGCTAACATGAGAAAAAATGGAATACACTGGAAGTATCTTAGGTGACTCACAAAAATTGAAGGAAAAGCTAAACAGTCAAGCTTCAAGAGCGCAGGAACCAGGACAGCAAAGAACTCTGTTGAAATCCTATTTCTGGGAGATTGGAATGGTCAGGTTCCAGCTGTCACTATCACCTATTACCTTTTTTTAAAAAAATTGTTATTATATTGATTATGCCATTACAGTTGTTCTATTCCCCCCCTTCATTCCCCTCCACCCCCCATCCCTACCATTCCCCTCGTTTAGTTTATGACCATGTGTTTCAAGTTCTTTAGATTCTATATTTCCCATACTATTCTTGCCCCCCGTCTATTTTCTACCTACCGTCTATGCTACTTATTTTCTGTACCTTCTCCCCCCTTCTCCTTCTCCCACTCCCCTGTTGCTAACCCTCCATGAGATCTTCATTTCTATGGTTCTGCTCCTGATCTAGCTGTTCTCTTAGCTTGCTTTTGTTCTAGGTGTGGTTGTTAATAACTGTGCGTTTGCTGTCCTTTATCCAAATTCCCAGGAACCAGATTCCAATGAGGTCATGTTGGACTGGGTCACCCTTTGAAAGATGCCATGGTAATTCAACCACATGGACTGCAAGGGGCTGGGGTTCGAAAGAAGTGTGAGGTGGAAGGGAAAAGAGGTGCTGGACAGGCAAACACAAGAGGCTGCCATAGATATTTATGGTGCTTTGTGCTTCTTGTTAAAAAACGTGGGCTTGGGTGCTCTCGAAAACTAAATCTAGATTTATAGACACATACACAGATAAACACACTGCACATGCATGTTTTATATGCTGCTCTTGGATGATCTCTGCCGCTTTTCCCCTCCGTTCACTGCTCTTAAGGTTGGTAAACCAAGTGATGCGCTAGAGGCCGCCTTTCTTCCCTCAAAGAGAAAAGTTAAAGAAATACAAGAGGCCTCCAGAGATACACTGTTATAGAATGTAATATATGAAAAGCACTGAGTTGAGCTTAATACGGAGAGTCACTTTTTGGTTGATAATTAAGGTACTTTATTTTTGTAGGCAGAGAAGTGTGTTTCCACATTTTGTCTGAGTAGAATTTACATTGACTTACATGGATATTCTCATCTGCCAGTAGGAGGAGATTATCCTGCTCAAATAAGTGTTTCCTTCTGGTTCAGAACTTGATTTACTACAATTAAAAACATGTACAGTGCTGTCACCAAAAATCTAGAGCTTGCCACTTGCATTTGTGAATAAGTTGTTTTAGATAGGTTTCATTTTACTTTATAATGGGAAAAAAATTTCTCATGGTACTTCATACACTTAGACAAAAGAAAAGAATCTTCCGGAGACATTTATGCAGACCTTTCAGGTTCCAGATCTGTGATTCTCAAACTTCGTTTGGCATGCACCTCACCTGGGGTGCGTGCTAACAGTGCAGATGTCTGGGTTGACTTCCAGAGGTTTGGCTGTAGTTGGTCTGGTGGGGGCTCTGGACTCCAGTGTCGTCAAATAGCCCAGATGATTGTGATGCCGGTGGCCTGTGGACCACACTCTGGAAAACCCTGCTCTGGAGGATTTTATATTACTTCCTCAATAGTGTCAAAGAAGTAAATGTTATGTATAATTTGTTCAAAGGTTTGGAACTGGACTGATTTAACGTGGATTGTTCAGAACATATATTGATGAACCACCCTTCTACTGAAGTGGTTAGAACTGTTATTCATGAAAACATTAGGAAGTTAGTGAGAAAGCAAAGTTTGTGAATGAATTCTATATTCTCCACTAACATGTTACTTCCAGATGCTTCTCATATATTAATAACACTTTATTTTTGGATAGGAGAGTATTCCAGGGTGAGTATAGAATGCTCATTTTTGGAACAGGCCTGTGTTCTCGGATAAGTATAGTATAGTAGGTACACCAAGACTGTAGTTTTGTGCTATGTTTCTTTTAAAGTTATATTCTCATGCGTGTACTTTGTTTTTCCTAAAAACGAAGTTTTTTAGCTTTTCTAGTAAATACCCATTTATTACATCTACTTTTCTCAGAATGAGATGGGTTGATATGTGATAAAACAATCACATTGATGGTTTTGATGAAACTAACCACGAGTGGAGCTAACACTGTCAGGAATACTGTGGGAAGGATTTTAATAGTCGAAGGTGCTGTGGACTGCGTAAAATATCCTGTGGAGCAGGTAGAACAGGATGGAGCACAGCATTCGGAAACTGAGTGTTTCCTTTTGAGTGAAATTATTAACATTGGCAGCCTTGGAATATACTGGCCAGCTCTGTAACACAAAGGACATATTTTACTACATGATCTATGGAAAACATTGGTTACATACTACTCCTTTTAGTTTTGCTTGAGTAGTCATCTGCAGAAGCATCTGTGTGCAAAAAGAGAGGTTGGACAACTAAGGGCCACACAGCTGACAGCTGCATTTGATAAACGACTGTAGCTTTTGAAAGTCTCTAGTGGGAAAAGCAAATCTAATCTTTTGTTAAAAATCATTTAGCTGAAAAAAAGGTACTTTAAGCACAAATAATGGCTTGTCTTTAGTGATGTGAATTCAGCAATGTTTTTAAATTTTTTAAAGCATTTTATTGTACTTTTCCCATTACCATTTACCCGCTTATACTCCCTCTACCCTGCAATCGCCACACTGTTGTCCATGTCCATGCGCCCTCTTTCCTTTTTGCCCAACCCTTCCACCCCCTTACCACCCTCCCCTAAAGCTGTCAGCTTGCTCTCTATCTATGACACTGCCTCTGTTTTGCTTGTTAGTTCAGTTTGTTCACTGGATGCCACATATGAGTGAAATCACATAGCATTTGTCTTTCTCTGACTGGCTTATTTCACTTAGCATAATGTTTTCCAGGTCTACCAATGCTGTCTCAAAGGGTAAAATTTTCTTCTTTGTATGGCCAAGTAGCATTCCATTGTGGAAATGTCCCATAGTTGTTTTATCCACTTATCTACTGATGGACACTTGGGCTGTTTCCATATCTTGGTGATTGTAAATAGTGCTGCAGTGAAC